GTTTTACAGCTCAGGAAGCAGGTGCAGGGGCAGCATCACAGTGTAATCCTGAGGTTGCTGTTTACTTCCCTCCCCTGAGCCTCAGTTTCCTCATCTTTCAAATAAGGTTGGAAGACTAGATGGTCTCAAAGTGTCTTTTCAGCTGAGTGTATGACTTTATCCATGACCCTGGAACAGGACGTGAGGGCCAGTGGTGGAAACCTAAGACCATAAATGGGTGGGAAGGTGGGAAACTCTGCTAGTGTGAGGAATGCTTCTCCTTCAGGACAGGTTTCCTCCAGGAGGCGCACGGGTGGTGGTAGCAAGTGGGAGCTACGGAGGCACTGTCTAGATTCGGCCGGAGACTCCGTGGCTTGGTTGTGGGGAGTGGCCCCACCGTACCCAACATGGCAGCTCCTATCTGAAGAAACCCCGACGCCCACTTCCGGGTTCCGTACCGCTGGCCAGGCTACTTCCGGCAGCGCGATGGCTGGGTTCCCGGGACTCGAACGGAAGTTCCGGCGGGGGCGGCAGAGGGGGAAGAGTGTGTGTCTGTGCGGGAGAGAGAGGAGAATCGCCCGAGAGGTCTCGAAACCCCCAGGAGTGGAGGTACCGTGGTCCGGGGCCAGCAGGCCCGGGGAGGGCACTGGCGGGGCATCGGCCCAACGCGAGGGTACTGGCGAGTGGGGAGGGGCAACCGCAGTTGTGAGGGATGGGGGTGGGGAGTGAGGTGCGAAGAGGCGCTGGCCGGTCTGGGGGACTTTGGGGGCAGAGAGGGAGAGGAAGATGGGGTCCCGGTGTGATGAGAGGGACTTCAGGGTCGGAAGTGGAGGATCCCGTTGTGGGGCGGGTGCTCTCCAGGGTCAAACGTAGAACGCCCCTTTGTGGGCAGAGGCGGGTCCGGGGTCAGGATAGAAATTGTCACTGTGGGGAGGGCGACTCTCGGTCAGAACAGAAGTTCCCATTGTGGGGAGTGGGAGACCATAGGTCAGGGTGGAAGTTTTTACTGTGGCGAGGAAGACCCCAGGTCAGGGGGAAAGGCACCACTCTGAGAGGAGGGGCCTGGGGTGAGGGGTGGAAGAATCTCTGTGGGGAAGGAAGGGAATCTCAGCTTAGGACAAAAGGTGCATTCCTGTGTGGGAAGAGGAACCCCAGGGTCAGAGGTGAGGGATTCTACTGTGTGGAGGGGCGCTCGGGGGAGAGGGGAGGGGGAAGCCAGTTGGTGGGGTGGGAGGGGTGGGCGCTGCTAGGAAGGGTCGGCACTTAGGGGCAGGTAGCAGAAGCTGCCGGGGAGTTTGGAGGATGCTAAGGACGGGAGGAGCCAGCCAGCTTGGCATTCTTTTGTGCGTTTGGGAGTCCCAGAGCATGGTCGAGCTGGGGGACCTATTTGGAGTCAGTGGGCAGCAGCAGGTGGCCTCATACAGGGGGGTGGGGGGCACTGTTTAGGAGGTGGGTGGTGGATCGGAGTTTGTGTGCCTTCTGGGGACATGGGCAGCTCCCAGGGGCTCTGAGAAGGGCTGAGCCAGAAGGCTGATGGGGGCTGGATGGGAGGGAAGTTGGAGAAAATGAGTGTGGGGTTGAGAGTAGGGGCTGGAAACATATTTCCCGGCAGTTTTCCTTCCCTTCATTTCCCAGTAGGGCCGGGAGTTGGGAAGGAGGGGACGCAAGGGCTCTAGAGAAGGGGGATGATTGGAGAGCAGGAAGAGGAGGCAGTTACCTGCCAACGAGTGTTAGGTGGGGAGAAGGCAGCAGGGGATGCCCTGGCTCCCCTGCCCCATGGCCCCAAAGCCCTGCCTCTGCCCACCTCCAGCAACCTCAGGCTGTGTGGGGGGCCAGAAGCAGGGCCACTAGGGTGGCTGCCCCTGCTTTTCAGCCCTGGAGTGAAGGCAAACTTCCTGCCCGCTTGCTCGGGCCCAGAACTTCTTGCCTGGCTTTTCTTTGTGTCCAGGATAGAACCTGGGGTGCGGTGGAGGGCTGATGGCCCGGGTGGGCCCTGGCTTTGAGGCTCTGCTTCTGTGTCAGGATTCTCTCCCCTTCCTGGCCTTGCTCCTGACCACTGTCCCGAATGTGCACAGGCCCCAGCCGTGGAGCCCTGCAGTGTATGTGTGGTAACACCATGTCTGTGCCCCTGCTCACCGATGCTGCCACTGTGTCTGGAGCTGAGCGGGAAACAGCTGCGGTAAGGGTCTTCTGCTACCCACGCAGCCCCCAGGGGGCCGGCTGGGGAACTGGCTGGAGGGGGCGTGGGGAAAATAGAGGTGGCAGTGAGGAGAGGGTGAGCAGCCTGCAGCCGGGAGGCAGGGGCTTAATCGCCTGTCTGGCTGCCACCTCAGTTCCCCTCCAGGTCCTTGGGGGTGAGGGAGGGGTGGCCAGAAGTTGGAGGACAGAGTGCGAGTGATAGCAGGACGGTGACTGCCCTCTTTCCCATCTGATCCTTTTCCAGGTTATTTTTTTACATGGCCTTGGAGACACAGGGTGAGTGAGCTGGGGAGGGGGTGTTCCTGGGGAAGTGGGGGAGGGCCCAGGGGGCGGGACCTTTGCCCTCCCTTCCTCCCTCTACACATCGGTGTCTTTTCTCTTTTCCCTCCTACAGGCACAGCTGGGCTGACGCCCTCTCTACTATCCGGCTCCCTCACGTCAAGTACATCTGTCCCCATGCGTGAGTGTCACCCCAGCAAGGGGAGGGACTGAAGATAGGGGGTGGTCCTGTGGTCCCAGGCCTGTTCTCTCCTGCCGGCTGCATCCTGGGGCCTGGGGCCCAGAGCAGTCACAGGTGCCATTTTCACCCTTCATCATTCCTGTGGAACCCTCAGGAATAGGGACCAGCCCCAGACCCAAGGCCTCCTAGACCTGAGACTCCTAGAACCAGCACCCCCTGTACCCCTTCCCCAAGTACTCACTGACTGAGCTGGAACCCCGCACACCGAGTGCTGGGCTGTGCTTCTCCATTGCTACTGCCGATGCCCCCAGCCACAGCCTCCAGCCCCACGTGGCAGGTTGCCTAGCAACACCTTAAACACAGGCCCTGCCTGCTGGGAGGGTTCCCCAGGGGTTGCCCTGCCCCCACCTGGGCTCTCTGCTGTGGCTTCCTCATCCCTCCGGAGCATGACGGCCCCTCTTGCTGTCCCTCCCCAGGCCTCGGATCCCTGTGACACTCAACATGAAGATGGTGATGCCCTCCTGGTGAGTCTGGAGAGGGGAATAGGAGCTTGAGGGAGCTGCCTGGGGCCGGCCCAGGTCTCCTAGTAGCTGCCCGCGTCTCTGCTCCGCCAGGTTTGACCTGATGGGGCTGAGCCCAGACGCCCCAGAGGACGAGGCCGGCATTAAGAGGGCAGCGGAGAACGGTAAGCCCCGCCCTCCCCAGCGTCCCCCCCCCCCCCCCCCCCCCCCGGGAAGGGCCCGGCCCCCCCCCCCCCCAGGGAAGTGCCTGGCAAGACCTCTGTCTGGCTCCCTTCCTTGGGTCCCTGTGGCAGCTTTCCCTCCACCCAGTCATGCCCCCTCCCCCCAGTCAGGGCCTTGATTGAGCATGAGATGAAGAATGGGATCCCTGCCAATCGGATCGTCCTGGGAGGCTTTTCACAGGTGAGGGGAGAGAGAGGGGGGTGGGCGGTGGGAGTTGAGCTGTGCCCTCATGAGCCCTCATTCTCTCCTTCCTCCAGGGTGGAGCCCTGTCCCTCTACACAGCCCTCACCTGCCCCCACCCTCTGGCTGGCATTGTGGCATTGAGCTGTTGGCTGCCTCTGCACCGGGCCTTCCCCCAGGTGAGTGTCTCCACTACCCCACTCCTACCCTCTGTCTCCTTGAGGCTGGGGGATTGCGCCCAAGCACTGGCTTTGCTCTCTGAGTCCCGTCTGGCCCACAGGCAGCCAACGGCAGTGCCAAGGACCTGACCATCCTTCAGTGTCATGGGGAGCTGGACCCCATGGTTCCCGTACGGTTTGGGGCCCTGACAGCCGAGAAGCTTCGGTCCGTTGTCACACCCGCCAGGGTCCAGTTCAAGACTTACCCCGGGGTCATGCACAGCTCCTGTCCTCAGGTCAGTGCTGAGGGGCTGCTTCCCACTCCCGCCCTTCTCCTTCCTCCCTCCAGCCAGGAGCCTCTCACAATACCCCCCCACCCCCACCCCCAGGAGATGGCAGCTGTGAAGGAGTTTCTTGAGAAGCTGCTGCCTCCTGTCTAACTACAGTTGCTGGCCCCCAGCGCGGTCCCCCAGCTCATGGGGGACTTGGCACGCGCGGCACCATCTTGGATCTGAGCCGGTCGAGCCCCTTTCTCACCCTCCTGGACCCTTCCTTTTCCCACAGGCCTCTGGGGTAGGCAGGCCAAGGCCTGGCCGGGCCTCCCTTCCTGACTTCAGCCACCTGTCTGCCGCAGGGGGTGGGCTGCTTTCTTATCCCATTTCCCTGGAGGGGGGGCCCCCCTGGCAGCAGTATTGGAGGGGCTGTAGGCAGCGGGAGAAAGGGGCCCAGCCGCTGACCCACTCACTCAGGACCTCATTCACTAGCCCCACTTTGGGCCCCTCCTGTGACCTCAGGGTTTGGCCCCTGGGGCCCTACCAGGCCCCACCTCCCACCCTCTCCCGCCAGCTGATCCTGCCTCCACTCCAGCTGCTTCTCAATCATGAATGTGTCCGTGGCCCGGGCCCCCTTGCTGCTGTGGGCTCCCTGCCCCTGTGCAGGAGTGTGGGTGACGGGGCGGAGTCCTTCGAGGGGGCCTCCCCTCAGCCATTCTGACTTGGGGGCTGGGCCCTGCCTCCCCATTACCCTCCGCCCCCGCGGGCCTGGAGCCTGCAGGGCTGGACTGAGGCTCAAGGTCTCCCCCAGCTGCCTCACCCCACATTGTCCCCACTCTAGGGCCAGGGGGAGGTGGGGAGGAGTCGTGTCTTGTCTTCTGTCTCCATGTAGTTTTGGGTGTTTTTCTTGTTGTGTCTGGATTCCGATAAAATTAAAGCAATTGCTTCACCTCTTAGGCCTGGATGATTCTATCCAAGGGGTAGAGTGTGATCATGTGCAAGAATCTGCTCCAGTGTAAGAAAACTTTATTTTAAATACTTTGGGAAGCTCCTTTGTAGCAGTATAAATTAGTGCCTGGGAGGAGGGCGTTCTGCGTGTCTCAGGGCCCTGCTTCGCCCCACTTGCTCTTGGTGGTCCTCCTGGGTTCCTGGACCCTGTGGAATAGAGACCCCTGATACCTGGTCAGTGGTGCGCTTGGCCTCATGCCTGGTGGGCTGAGTGGGCACAGTTGGGGTCTGAGGTAGGGGAGGCTCTGAGGCCCCTGGGTTCCTCCCAGAGGCTGGAGAGCAGGCAGTTGTTTCTCTTCCTTTTCTGGTCCCTGGTAGGTGAGGGTCTCAGGCCTGCGCGCCAAAGCCTGAAGGATTCTGCTTCTGCCAGCGCCATAGATCTTCACCTGTGATGGGGCGAGGTCTGTGCTCAGGGTCCACGCTGGAGTGCAGGGCCCGCACCACCTTGGACAGCCCGGAGTGGACAGGCCCAGACCCCCGGCGGCCCTTTTCCTAGCCCCCGACTCTCTCCCAGGGGCCAGGCCAGCACCCAGGGTCAGGGGTTGGGCTAGCACTCACACATCCTATCCAGCCCTAAGGCTGCTGACCAGCCCAGCTCCTTGAGGGCCAGGCTGGGGTTGGCATAACAGGCAGCCACATCGCCTTCCCGCCGGGCCACCACCTTGTACGGGATCTGCAAGAGAGGGGGCGGTTGTAGCTTAGCTGAGCTGGCCCTGGCCTTATCTGCCAACTTGCTGACCAGGCCCTCAAGAAATGGAGGTCCAGAGCAGGGTCTCGCTCTCAGGCGTCAAGTCCTAAGGCAGGCTTGGGGAGACAGGGCGGTGCTGGGATGCCCGTCATGTAGGTTAGTAGGAGGGGCTGGGGGTGGGTCAGGGTGGGCTGCCAGCCTACCTTCTTCCCCGAGGCCTTCTCCATGGCCACGACCATCTGTAACACCGAATAGCCCGTGCCCGTGCCCAGGTTGTAGATCTGCCCAGAGAGGAGAACAGGGACCGTGCCGGGGGCTGGACTTACTACCCCTCTGGGCCCCATTGGTCCAGGCCTCCGTCTCCTTCCCCTCCCTTCCTTCTCTTCCTACCCGGCAGCCACACTGCTCCTTCAGCTTCCTCAAGGCCGCGATGTGGCCCTTGGCCAGATCCACGACATGGATGTAATCCCGGACGCCTGCAGAGGAGGAGGTGGTGGGGCGCTGGGTGCAGTACAGTCTCTGTCCCACCGCAGTCTCCCTCCCGGCTCCCACTCCTGGCTCCTCCTGGTTCTGGGCTCACCTGTGCCATCCTCTGTGTCATAGTCGTTGCCAAAGACATTCAGTGCCTCCCGTCGTCCAATCGCCACCTGGGGTGGAGGTCAGGTTAGCTTTTCCCAGGACCTTGGCACCAGCTGTAGCCCTCAAGCCTAGGGCCACCCCCTTCCTTTCCCTTCTCCCTTACCTGGGAGACATAGGGCATGAGGTTATTGGGGATGCCCTGGGGATCCTCGCCGATGCAGCCCGAGGCGTGGGCGCCTATGGGGTTGAAATATCGCAGCAGCACTGCATTCCAGGCCTGTGGGACGCAGGTCAGACGATGGGGGTTGGGGTGCAGGCTGCGTGTCCCAGCTGAATCCAGAGCCCACCCTGCTGGTTCTCTATCCCTAGAAAGGAGCAGGGTATCGGGCCCTCCCTGCAAGTGCTGTGACCTCGTGCAAGTCACTGCTGCTTCCTGAACCCCAGCCTCCTCCTTGGTGGAGGCTGATCAGGATCCCGTCCTCAGGCTCGCGGAGGGTGGGCTGTGAGGGGTCCGTGAGCAGAGCCACGGCTGAGTCAAAGGGGGCCCTCACCTTGTCTGCCTGGCACAGGTCCCGGATCATTTCCTCGATGAAGAACTTGGACTTGCCATAGGGGTTGGTACAGCCACCTGTGGGGTGAGCCTCATCCAGGGGCAGGTACTGGGGGTTCCCATACACGGTGGCCGAGCTGCTAAACACCAGGTTCTTCACCCCGTGGGCCCTCATGATCTGCCCGTGGAGGGGAGGCGTCAGTGGCCTCTGCCTCACACATTATTCCTGCCCCCTTACACCTCCCAGGTGGGTGGGGCTGAGCTATGGGCTCCCATTTACAGAAGGAGAGACCGAGGCTGAGAGGCAAAGACCTAGCAAAGATGACACAGCTTGGGCTCTGCCACCGTGTTTGGCACTGCGTACCCGGCCAGGGACCCTCACAGTGTCTGTGTCCTCGCCTCATGCCTCACCTCCAGAAGCTGGATGGTTCCTGTCAGGTTAACTCGGTAATAATCCAGAGGCTTCTGCACCGACTCGCCCACAGCCTTGAGCCCAGCAAAGTGGATGACTGCCGTGAAGCTGTGCTGCAGGGTTGCAAAGCTGGGGTCAGAGGTTGCTTACAGGCCTGGCCCTTGGCTATGCCCCCTTCCTGTCTGCCTGCCAAGCACCCACCTTCTTAAAAAGACGCTGTAGGGCTGCCTGGTCCAAGATGTCCATCTCCTCAAACTCCACAGAGTGGCCTGTCAGCTCCTGAACCCGCCGCAAGCTCTCAGGCATGGAGCCCCCTCCTGGTTGGGCACATAGAGGCCATCAAAGTCAGAGGAGATGGGGTGCTGGGTTCCCAAGGGACTGGCCAGACACCCATCTCTTGGAGGCAGAACGCAGGGTTTCCCTTCCATCCCCCTGGGAGCCCCAGCCCCCTCCGCCTGCTCACCACGAATGGCGTTATGGAAGTTGTCGACGACCACCGGCGAATAGCCCGCTTCCAGCAGCTCCAGCACGGTGTGGCTGCCGATGTAGCCAGCCCCACCTGTTACCAGCACCTTCTCCGCCATCGCGGCTGGCCCGGGACGGAGACTCAGAGGTGGCTGAGGCTGCCTGCTCAGGGCCTCCTTCGATCTGGACTCGCGTCAGAGGGAGGCAGTGGTGCGTCCTAGTTAATAGGGTGGGTCTGGAGTCAGCCCTGGTCCAAGACTGGATACCATCACTTTCTGGCCTTAGGCCTTGGAGACCACTTCTCTCTTGGCCTTAGTTTCCATCTCTATAACGTGGAGTTTATAACTGTCCAACTATCACGTGGTGTGAGGGTCAGATGAGGTGATTTTAAAGGACTGCCACATGGTACAGGTGGGGAGACTGATGGCACAAGCACCATAACTGACCGGGGGTTGGGAAGATGGAACCCTAGGCTCCACACTGCCTTCCCCGAGGTGTCTGGGGACTGGACAGTTCTGGACAAAAGGAAACAAGGCAGCAGCATTGGGACTCCAAGAGCCCAGGAAGGGGTTCTGTCTGCTCAGACTCGGACCTTCCCAGTCCCTCTGCCATCACTAGGTATAAACTGGCTCCTTGGTTCAGTGACTAATACCTCCTGGGGTAAGCAGCCCCCTGACTCCCTCCCACAAAGGTCAACTGGGAGGAGGCAGGAAATATAGCAGATGGCCTCAGGGTGGGGTCTTTTGCCAGGCAGGCTGAGCCCAGCTCTGGGGTTACAGCACTGCACTCCTGGAGTGGGCCCCACCCCAGGTCAGCCAGGCTGGTTCCGCCTGTGCGGATGCCACTCCCGGCTTGGAGCTAAGGATCCCGCCTAATTCTAGGTGGCACTGAACAGGGTAGTGTAGACGTGGCCTTGGCCCCAGGCTCCACTGTCAGGTGTGCAACACCACCCTGAACAAACTCTACGGGCAGAGACGGTGGAGCGGAGGAGGGGGGCGGGGGAGGAAACTCAGACACTGAAGTCTTTCATTCCGGGCGGCCTGGCCCGCAGCCGCCTTCCTCCGAGCTGCGTCAATCCTCTTCTGGGCTCACCCAGCTCGACTGAACGCCCGCTGCGTGCCAGGCTCTGTATTGGGCACTTTTGCATTATTTTCCTGAATTCCCCCAATATCCTGATGAGGTAGGTGTTATTACTGGCACTTTACAAAAAAGGATACTAAGGTCAGAGAGGTGAAGTAATTGCCTTAAGTCACAAAGCTAGTGCTGGCCGGGCTAGAATCTGGATCTCCAGGATCAAAGCCCCGCCCCTCTCCCCAAGCAGTTCGCCCCCCGCCCCCACTGTTTCCCGCTGGACTCTGCTCCTGACGCTGAAGCCGCCCCCGCCGCCGACCCACCGAGCTCCACGCACTGTGCGGGCCCCCGGAAAGTGGTGGCGGAGGAGCTATGGGAGGCAGGAAGGCTGGTGAGGCCGGCCTCCCTCCGACTCGCAGAGTGGCCTCGGTCAGCTGTCGCCTCCTCAGTTTTCCCAGTCCGTAAAATGGAGAGGAGGGGGCGCAGGGCCGTGAGCTATCAAGTGCACTTGAGCCTCAGGCTGGGATTCGGGCGGTGGCTCGGAGGGGGCCGAACTAGGAGTGCCTCGGCCGGGAATGAATGAACCCTGGCCACCCCAGCCAAGGCAGCGGGAGCTGCGAGCAGCGAGGGTGGGTCCGCCCTGGCGGGACTCTGCCCAGAAAGCAGCCCAGACCCCCGAGACTCTCCCTCGCGCCCGGCGGACCACCCGGCCCCTCGCAAACCCGCCCAGACCCCCCATTCGCCTCCCGAACCTGCTCCGCACCACGCACCCCGCGCTGCCTCGAACGGCGCCGCCTCCCGAGCTCCGCGCCCAGTCCCTTTAAGAACCGACGGCCCGCCCTGGCCCCGCCTCCTCCACGCCCCCAAGAGACGTGTCAGCGGGGAGACCGCAGTACGGGGCGCCGGGAGGATCAAGGAAGCTACGTCTTCAGGACGCCTGCGCGGCACGTCCCGCAGAGGGCGGTACCGACCCGTGCCTGGGCGGTGGGCGGAGGAAGGCACGGCACGGCCCGGAGCCGCGCCCGCGAGCCCAGGCGCCAGCGCTTGTCCCGACCACGGGAGACAGGCGCCGCGCCCCAGGAGATGGGGCTTCTCAGGGACGCCCGGCAGCCGTCCCGCGGCGGGAGCCATAGCCAAGCGTGGGGCCGAAGACCGCGGCTCCACGCTCGCCCGCAGGTTTTCCACTGTTTTCGTAGCTGCCAAACTCTTTCTTTTTAGTAACCCTGGCATGAAGCAGATGGCTGCCTGGAACAGAGGCGAGAGGGACGGCGCCGAAGGACGGGAACGGGTAGGGGTCGCCCAGAAGCTGCCGTTCTGGAAAGTCTAGTTTAAAAATCCGCCAAAGGGAACTTCCCTGTCGGTCCTGTAAGACTCCGTGCTCCCGATGCAGGGGGCCCGCGGTTCGATCGGGGAACTAGATCCCGCATGCATGCTGCAACTAAGAAGTCCATATGCCGCACCTAAAGATCCCGAACGCAGCAACGAAGACCCGGCATAGATTAGATTAGATAGATAGACCCGGCGTAGATGGATTAGATTAAATAAATAAGATGGTTAGATTAGATAGATTTTTTTTTTTTTTAAATACCGCTAAGGGAGCCCTAAAACTAAAACAGGAATTACAGCGCCAATTGCGGTCAGCCTGGAACGGTTTGCACCCTGCCTACCATAATAGTACGTTAGAAAATGGTGTTCTGTTTTTGTTTAAAATAAAGGAAGGGCTAAGGAATGATGTGTATAAAGGCATGACAGACTGAATGATGAAACCCGAGCAAAGGAAGAAATGCACACGTGTGTCCCACAGCCTGAGTGCCCTGGGCCTGCCCGAGTCCAGCAAGGACGGCTGACAGGCAGGAGAGGCTGAGGTCCCGAGAGCTGAGTGCGCCCAGAGCTGCACCTGCCCAGGCCCAGAGGACCTTGTGCAACAGCCCAGGTCACAGAGCCACGAGCCTCAGAAACAACCTCCCCAGGGTGCTCTGGTCAGCGCTGTCATTACCATCGACCTTCCCAATTCTCAAGAAGGGAAACAAACAGGGAGAAAATTCAGAGATTAATAAACTGAAGTCTGTGTTTTCCTCTTAGAGGAAATGTTGAAAAGATGCTTTATTCTCTCTCCCCTATGTACACACATCTGTGCCACAGAACACTGGAATGGTTATGTCATTAAACCTTTAATTACATAAGCTGCTTTCAACAATCATGTACAAAGTGGAGATTTTCCAGAGGTGCTGGAGTTGGCAGGTGGCCACCACAGCTCAGCCCTCACCCCTTCACCAAATGCCCTCTGCCAGCTGAGGGAAAAATTCCTCCCTGCCCCTTTGCCCTACAAAGTCAGCGAGCGATGGCCCCAAGGATATGGCAGCATCAAGCTGTGGAGAGTGGCCAACTGGCAGGATTCACCCAGAGATGAGACTTGAGGATCAACCCAAGTCAGAGAATTGGGTTCCCAAGTGCCTTTAGGCATCCAACTCCTGGGCCTTTGGGTCCATGGTGAAGGGAGACCTCCAGCTGCCCAAGCCTCTTACTCATACTCAGGTCAGGCAGGGAGGGCCTGAGGCCAGGCAACTCCAGTCCACCTCCTTTCCGCCAGGAGAGATCTAGGTGCAGAGCTGGCAGTGAGGTGCCTACTCCTGTTGATTTCATTCCCATTTCCACATGCCCATCTGTGAGTCATCCACATGTCCTTATTCCCACACAGTCCCCAGGGCTTTGGGGGGCAAGGGGCTCACAGTTTACAGGTAGCCTGAGCCACTTTGGAGCTGGTTCTTCTGTTCAGGGCTTGACAGATAAAGGCCCCAGCTTCCAGGAGCTTCTGGAGGTTCACACCCTTTGAGAAACAAGTTAGAGGATGCAGTAAGTCACAACATGCCCTCAACACCCAGGGAAACATCAGACTGGACAGAAAACTGTGTAAGGGTGAAGACAACCAGGCCCTTGTTCCTCTGACGACGGAATACCAGTTGCCTGTGAGGTGGTGTCCTCGTGGCATGTGGGGTTCTCCAACTCCAGAGTCCAGCACAGGCCTGGCCCACCGTGGTCAAACACTGAATACTGAAGTAAGGACCGTGAGGCAAAGAGAAACAGGAGTAAAAACACCAACTAAGGGCTTCCCTGGTGGCACAGTGGATAAAAATCTGCCTGCCAGTGCAGGGGACACAGGTTCGATCCCTGGTCTGGGAAGATCCCACATGCCACGGAGCAACTAAGCCTGTGTGCCACAGCTACTGAGGCTGCGCTCTAGAGCCCGTGCTCCGCTACAAGAGAAGCCACCACAATGAGAAGCCCACGCACTGCAACGAAGAGTAGCCTCCGCTCTCCACAACTAGAGAAACCCTGCAACGTAACCTAACGCAGCCAAAAATAAATAAGTGAAAAATTAAAAAAAAAAAAAAAAAAAAACCTAAAAGGGCCACACTGAAAACCTCTTGGTAACAATAGCTACTTCCTGATGCGTACTATCTGCTTAGCTCTGGGCCAAGCACTCCGCATTTTCTTATCCTCATAATGACTCTGTGAGATAGGTGCTGTTATTATTCCCATTTCCTAGGCCCAGAGCTGTGAAGTAATCTGTCAGGTCACACAGCCTGTGAGTGACAGGACTAGGTTTTAAACCCAGTTCTGTCTAATCCAAAAGCACAGATGCTACCCTGCTTCCAACCCACACTGAGGGCCCTTACTGACTCCGGCAGAGCCCTGGGGGGCTAATTCTGCTGCCCTCATTTTTCAGAGAACAAAACAAAGGTCCAGAGGAAACTGACTCGCTTCAGGTCATGGCTTTACCCTTTCAGGGCTCTTTCCCTACACCCCCATGCCCCCTCAGACTGAACCGTCAGACTCACACTGAGGGCCTGCCTCCTCGTGGCCTCCATCTACCACGCTCTGTTATCCCAAAACATATGACAGAACGGCCCTAATCCCTTGGCACCCTTCTCTTAACTGCACCAGCACCACCACAAAAACCCTGAACAAACCCAGCAGCTTCTGTCCTCCGGCTTCAGGCAGAGCTCTGGTCAGTTCAGGGCTGCCGCCACCGGGAGGCAGGTGACATTACCGTGTGAACGCCCAAGCCGGCCAGCATGTAGACCAGGTCCTCGGTGGCCAAGTTTCCCGATGCTCCGTGTGCATAGGGACAGCCTCCAAGTCCCGCCACGGAAGAGTCCACGACGCTCACTCCCATCTGCAAGCAAGGACGGTGAAGCATGGCTGTCACCGTGGGGACCAGAGCCCACAAAGCCGGTTCTTGCAAACCTACCACCTGCTGCCTGAAATTCTTTGGCTTATGATTCTGTCGACGTGAAAATCCCACTGAAAGAAACTGTTCCTCTTTTTAGTTCCTAAAACAGTGTGAGTCTTTTATGCTACACTGTTTCCTCTGCCAGGAATATCCACCCTCCTTCCTTTCATGGTCAACTCTTCACCTTCTCCTTCTCAGCCTAAAAGCCACCTCCTCAGAGGGGCCCTTCCCGATCACCGACCTAAACTAACCCTCTCCCACTGTTGAGGTTTCAGACCCCTGTTGCTTACCGTGTTCACTCCCCCCCGCCCCCACTCCCTCACCCCACATCAAGCCTCTAACCCCACAGGGGCCTATCCCATTTCTCTAGGTCAGTCACCCCACTTTCCTAATATGACTGTTTCACTTTCTCCTCTCTCCTTAAACCTCAACTCTGAGAAAACAGACCCAGAAGGTAATAGAATCATCTGGCTTAAAGACATGAGCCTCAAGGAGGTAACATGAGAACTAGAAAGAGGGGGAAAAATAAGGTGGCCCCGGATTGCTCTAGCTAACCTGAAGACAACCGGCTAGACTCAGACTATCACTACAGCAAGGCAGCCTGTGGTCAGACACTCGGAAATTTCCGTCTAAGGGGCTGCTGGGCCATGGGACCTTCATTCTGGGCCAGCCCGCAAGAAGCAAACCTCAAAAGAAACCCAATCTGAGGTCTTAGTCCAATCTTTGGGGAACAGCGTTAAAGGTTCTCCCTCTGAGTGACCTCTGCCTCCCTCCCTACTTCCTGCCCGCTCTTGCTACACACGGGCACACGCGCGCGCACTCACAGCCCTGTGTGCTAGGGCGGGGCCGGGGCACCTGAGTCCTCCCTGACCCCACCTTAGTCTTACAATGCAGTGCTGCCTGGTCACCTTTCCGCTTCCCTTTTTCAACTGCTTAACTTTTTCGTGTCCTTCAAGCCTCCCCTGGCGAATCCTCCCTGACCTCCCCAGCTGGGACTGGGGCCTTGCTGAGCCCCAGGCTTCCTCCCTGTGTGGCATCTGTCACAGTGCATTAGGATTATCACCTGATTCTCGACTGTCTCTCCTAACAGACAGATGCAGGCACTTTCAGGGCAGGGTCACATGTTTGTGTCCGCCATGGCCAGCCGTGGCCTGGCACACAGGTGTGGGCCTTCAGCACAGTGAACGCTTGCTGAAAGAATAAATGAAACATAGCTGTCCTGCCACCATACCCTTCGGGAGGATGGACATGTGCCTCTACTCTGGGACATGCCCTGATTACCTGCAGGGCCATCAAGGTGTTGGCCAGGGCCTGGCCATAGGTGTCATGGCAGTGGACAGCCAGGGCAGCCACTGGCACCTCATGCATGACAGCGGACAGCATATCCTTCATGGTCCCAGGGGTGCCCACGCCAATGGTGTCTCCCAGAGAGATCTCATAGCAGCCCACTGAGTACATCTTCTTGGCAACCTGGGGAAACAAGCAGGCGCTGGGAGGACCCCAGATTCCTCAAGCCAGGGGTCCTTAGCCTACGCAGAACACCTCCACGTGTGAGACACTAAATTCCTATCAGACCACAGACTCCTTACAACTTTATGAGTGGGAATGACGATCCTCCTTCTACTTGTCAGGAGACTGGGACGTAAGGAGCAGAGCTGGCCACTGGGTGCGGGCCCTGGGGCCCCAACCCCTATGCTTTCCTCCCGTGCGTGCCTCAAACTCCATCCAGTCCTCCACTTAACCACCTTCACACACTGTGTCAGACCCAGGGACCAGAATCAGTAGAATTGATTCCTTTCGCGTAGCTCTATCCTTGGTAGGAAGATGTGTGAAATCATGGGTCTGGGGTGCTAGTTATATATTTTTAAGAGAAGTACATAACTATTAAAACTTTTAGAAGTGCATCTGTCAACCCCTAAAATCACTGCAAAACCAGAGCAGTATATGCCCCACCTGAGGAGACGCTGCTCCACACTGCTGTGCTGGAGAAGGGGGGGGGGAAGGCGGAGGTGGGGTCAGGGATGTGGTGATACTCAACGGTGGTCTGATGGATAAAGAAATCGGTGAGCCCCCTCCGCGGCTGCCCATGTGGACAGAATGACAAGGAGCCATGGCAGCCAGTGGGCGGCAGCGGGTGCAGCAGAAGCGGCAGGCTCGGGGGTGACGTGATGCTGAAGTAAAACCCCAGTTCCGCTGCTCACTAGCTATGGGACCTTGGCTACGGACCTAACTTTCCTGAGCTTCAGCTTCTGCTTCTGAAAAACAGTGACGAGCCTTTGCAGGATACAGGGAGGACTGGCGGCAACAGGAGGCTGAGATTCTGGACGACAGCAGCCACTCTCAATGAGCAGTTGCTACTGTTACCAATGCTCATTTCCGGGTGCTACCTGGTGTGTGGGAAGAGCAAGAGGGCTTTAGAGGTACGCCAGGTGGGGGTTGAGACCTGGTTTCACCATTTGCAACCTGCATGGCAAGTTAGTCTGTTTCCTCAACTGTAAAATGGAATAACAATAACACCAAATTTGCTGGGTGCTTTTGTGGACAAAATGACATAAGTTCTTGGGCTGTTCAAGTTCATTTCCCGCCCTGTGTTATTCTAAGAGGATGTCAATGGTCTCTCCAGCCACTACAAGGAAGCCCTCTGCAGAGGATTCTCACCTCACCTCACCTGTCCACTGACCAGACTGGAAACTGTGTCAGGGGCTTTCACCCTGGGGTAGAGGGCAGGGGCTTCGGAGACTCCATGCCAGGCTAGGAGGTGGCCCTCCAGGGGTGAGCACAGGGCTGTGCTCTCAGAGGGGCTTAATGAAGGAGCTGGGCAAAGAAATGAAATCCGTGACCCACCATGAAAGTGTGGCGAGAGCAACCTACGCACTCAGGGGCAGGCACGGGAGCCAACGCTCACGAAATCCCCCCACACGCACCTCAGCTACTTTAGCCGGGGAGATCTTCCCTTCGTAGGGGCATCCGAGCACACAGGAGACGTACCTGTGGGAAAACAGGGAGGATTGGTGTCAGTGCCCCCGGGCTCTTTGGCCAGCAGAGCTGGGGCAGGGTGGCTGCTTGACACACATCCCTGGTTAGTCTGCACCCAAACCTGAAGCCAGGCGGGAGGCCAAGGGCCTGGCTGAGAGGCTAACTCAATGCCGGCGAGCGGGCGAAGGCAGTGCTGCTCAGTGCCAGGAGCGGGCAGTGCAGCACCACAGCGGGGAGGGCAAGAAACTAACAGGCCTGTAGTTCAGGAAGCAGGCGACACACAGAGAGGCAGCCAGAGACCAACCAAGGGGGAGGAGAAGCTAAAGAGGGCACTATGGGCAGCCAGCGGAGCCGCACGGAGTGAGGCCACGCTTGGGAGAGGACTAAGGACGGGTGAAAGCAAAGCGGGAACGAAAAAGCTGGGCCAGCTGAGGGCCAAGGGACCGGCTGCTCCGACTGAGTGGCCAGAGGGTTCAAACACTCATTTATTCAACTGATATATACCGAGCTGCCCACGGTGTGCCAGGCACTGGGGAAGCGCAGTGAGCAAGACTGAAAAGATCCCCACCGCCACAGAGCTTAAGGTTTCAGGTAGGGAGACAGCGATAAAAGAGTGATCTAGGGCTTCCCTGGTGGCGCAGTGGTTGGGAGTTCGCCTGCCGATGCAGGGGACACGGGTTTGTGCCCCAGTCCAGGAAGATCCCACATGCCGCAGAGCGGCTGGGCCCGTGAGCCATGGCCGCTGAGCCTGCGCGTCCGGAGCCTGTGCACCACAACGGGAGAGGCCGCAGCGGTGAGAGGCCCGCATACAGCAAGCAAACAAACAAACAAAAAGTCTAATAAGGGAAGGACATAATCTCAAAAAGTGACGTGCTATGAAGGAAAGACAAGGGAAGTGTGACAGGAGCAACCAGAGGAGGCCAGCAACAGTAGGATGGCCCAGAAGACCTCTGTGAGGACGCGAAGCTGGAGCTGAGATGGGAGGAGAGCCGTGTTCCGGGCAGAGAGAAGAACCAGCGTAGAGTCCCTGAGACCGAAGAGTAGGTGTGTTCAAGACACAGAACAAAGGACAAAACAGCTGAGGTATGGGCAGCAAGGGGCAAAGAAGTACAACATGAGGTTGGAGAGGAGGCCACCGGCCTGATCGTGGGGTCTTGCGAGTTACGGTGAGGAGTCTGGATCTTGGGTGTAGCCAGCTTCTATGTCCACCCACCCCATTCAGACTGAGGCTCCATTAAAACCTTTTAGAGTCTTACAAAGTACTCTGCGTATTATGAGGCATAATAAATGTCTGCTGGATAAATACATTTCAGACTCAAACATCTCAGTGTATTTTTCCATCTTAATCCTTCTTCTTACTCTCCAATCACTGCTGAGCACAGAAAAGCTAAAGAAATACTGAGGAAAGAGCACAGGCTTGGGAGTCAGGAAGACCTGACATGCCCTTGCTTCCCCATCCATCTATCCGCCCGTCGGTTCCTGAGCACCTACTATGTGCTAGGCCCAGAGCTGGGAGAGGGAGTACAGCAGGGACTGAGGTGGGCTCTGCCCTCACGGAGAGCAGAGTCTAGTGGGCGATGGGAGGCAGAGGAGAATTTAACAAGCAGGTAAGTGCTTTGTTAGAGGATGTTCAGGGGACTCTGGGAGCCCAGAGGAGGGACACCAACTCCACCTAAGGGAAGAGAAAGCTTCGTGGAGAAACTGGCATCCATGAGAGGACCTGAAGATGAGCAGGAGTTAGCCCTGACAAGTAGGATGTAGGAGGAAGAGTGTCCTGAGTCTACAGAAAGCACGTGCAAAGGCCCAGAGGCAGGAGAGAACTGGGCCATGTGACAAATGGGAAGAAAGTCCAGCTGGCTGGACTGCGGTGTGCTGAGGAAGCGGGGCCAGAAGAGGGATGTGAGCTGCAGAGAGTGACAGGGGCTGAAGAACGCAGGGGCTTGTAAACCACGTTGAAAAGCCTGGAGTTGAGTCACTGACAGGGTTTAACCAGGGAGTGATGTGATCAGATGTGTACTCCTGAAACAGCGTTCTGGCTGCAGTTTGCTGTGTGACCTTACAGCAGACTCTTCATCCTTCCTGAGCCTCAGTTTTGTCATCTGGAAGCGGGGACAGACGCCTCCTTGCTGGGCGAGTGTGAGGCTACAATTAGATAATACATGGACAACGCCTGTCACTACTGCTATTAAAGACGTGATGTCGGAGACGTCTTAGAGGCCGAAGGGATTCCTCAGGGATGTGTGAAGAGTTGGTGGTGGAGCCAGGATTAAACTGACCTCCACAAACCCTGTTTAGTGTCTGTCCTGCTAGATTCCTCTGGTGAACTGACCCAAAAATCAGGTTTGGAGAAAGCACTTGCCAGGATTTCTTCTGACCAAATTTACTTGGGAAAAGATGTCTGGGTGTGGAGCTTGGGCTGCCTGCACCCAGGATAAGGAGTCTGTGAGGCATGGTCACTGGAGTTAAAGCCTGGCCCTATTCCAGAATGGTACTGAGGAAATAAAGAGAGGCAGCACCAATGTGGTCAGACTCACCCCCGCACAGGGATACTGGCTGCCCGAGCTGCCTTCAAGATTTCGTCAAACCGCTGCACACTCTCATCTATGGAGCAGTTGATGTTCTTCTTGCTGAAGAGCTCGGAGGCAGCTCCAAAGACAGCCACTTCCTTGGCTCCGGCAGCAACCTGCCAACGGCCAGGTGAATTCCTTTCAGCATTTTTCTCTTCAAGGAATACCCACACAGAGTGGCAAAAACCTTTGTCTAATGGTGAATTTTATGATATATGAATATTATAAGTTGATTTGTGTCCTTCCCAAAGACATGTTGAAATGCTGACCCCCAGTACCTCAGAACATGACCTTGTTTGGCAATAGGGTCATTGTAGATGTAATAGCTAAGATGAAGTCATATTAGTCCCTCTTCCCTTATACGATTGCGCCCATGTGAAGACAGACACAGAGGAAAGGCCAGCGAGGGGGAAGCAGATACTGGAGTGACGCACCTAAAAGCGGAGGAACACTGAGGATTGCCAATCATCACCAGAAACTAGGAGAGAGGCGTGGAAAGATTCTCTCTCAGAGACCTCAGAGGAACCAACCTGGGCTTCCCTGGTGGCGCAGTGGTTAAGAATACACCTGCCAACGCAGGGGACACGGGTTCGAGCCCTGGTCCGGGAAGATCCCACATGCCGCGGAGCAACTAAGCCCGTGAACCACAACTACTGAGCCTGCACTTTAGAGCCCCCGAGCCACAACTACTGAGCCCACACACCTAGAGCCCGTGAGCCAAAACTACTGAGCCCGCATGCCTAGAGCCCATGGTCTGCAACAAGAGAAGCCATCATAATGAGAAGCCTGCGCACCAGAACGGAGAGTAGCCCCTGCTCGCTGCAACTAGAGAAAGCCCACGCACAGCAACAAAGACCCAACGCAACCAAAAATAAATGCATAAATAAATTTTAAAAAAAAAGAAGGAACCAACCCTACTGACACCTTGATTTAGGACTTCTAGCCTCCAGAACTGTGAGAGAATACACTTCTATTGTTTTAAGCCACCTAGATTTTTCATATTTTATAATGGCAGCCCTAGGAAATTAAAACAGTGAGTTATATCTCAATAAAAAAGAAGCCTTGGCCTTCCCCAAGGACCAACACTGCTGCTGCCATCACCACCCTGGAAGTCACTCTTTTTATTTTGCTGTACGCGGGCTTCTCACTGTTGTGGCCTCTCCCGTTGCAGAGCACAGGCTCCGGACGCGCAGGCTCAGCGGCCATGGCTCACGGGCCCAGCCGCTCCGCGGCATGTGGGATCGTCCCAGACTGGGGCACGAACCCGTGTCCCCTGCATCGGCAGGCAGACTCTCAACCACTGCGCCACCAGGGAAGCCCTGGAAGTCACTCTTAAAAGAAGCTTTTTGCCTAAATTCGGAATCAACATCTCCAATGACGTTCTCATGTAAAATTATAAGAAAGTTGACAGATACTAGCAACCACCTTTAACTCTTGTGGAGAGCTCGATCACCTTTTTTTAAAGAGGAGATGGGCAACAACAACAAGAGCTAACGTTTATTAAGCACTTATCTTCTACCAGGCTCTTACTAAGCAACTCATGTGCATCCTATCTTCTGAAATCCTCACAATGTTAGGTACCATCATTAACCTTATTTTATAGGCAGAACCTGAGGCTCAGAGAGGTTTAGCAGCTTGTCAAGATCAGAGAGCTGGGAGTGGCAGTGCCAGGACTGCCCCCAGGTCTGTCTGACGGTGCCCATCACTGCTGGAGACAAGTCATTCAGACAGACATCCTGGGACAGGGACTGAGCCCAGGGACAAGACAGAGGCCAATGCCATCAATCTCATTTCAGGGGCCCCCACCAAAAACAGATCTCTTACCGCTGCCTGGAAGCCTTTGAAATTTGGGGTCAGCACTGGGTAGCTGATGCCGGGAAATTTCTGGATGCCCTTCATGACTTCAGCGTGGTCAGCCATCTGAGAGCCAAAGGAGACACTGCCAAGTCACCACCAAGGGCAGGCAGAGTTCAGGTAGAGAAAAACATTTTAGCACAAAATCTCTGTTCTCCAGGACCCTTGCAGAATGAGTCCTTTCGCAGAGCTGAGTCTCCCCAATGCTCTTACTATTTGTTTGACTGCTCATGAGCGAGAAGGCTCCTTGGCATGGGTGAGATCCCCAGTCTCTCCATACAGCTAACACTGTCAACTCTACATAAGGAGCAACAGCAGCAATGGTACTTGTAGCCATTTGCTGAGAATGTGCTCCGAGCCCGGCACCGTGCTCAGTGCCATCTAACTCAGTTGGAACAGGATCTTTCTTCCCACTTGACTATCTCTGTGAAGCAGGAGTCGCCAGTCTTTCCCCTTCACAAACGCAGAAGCCACACCTCTAGACAGGCCTAGAGATTCTAGACTTCTTAGAGCCAGAAGAGACCTGAGAGGTCATCTTGAAGCTGGGGAGGGGAAGGCCTCACCAAGCTCACCACGCAAGTCGGGGCAGGGCCAAGACTGAATCCAAGCCACCTGCCTCCCGGGGCATGCTCTTTTGCTGCACATGCTACTATGAAGCACAGAGAGCTCTCAAAGCCAGAGACCTGGAAACTTACGTTCCTGACTTCTACTGACTTCCAGGGCAAGTGCAAAACTTTACATCCCTCTCATCTGAGACATGCCTGAGGGCTGGGGCTCACCTGGGGAACCCATTTGGGAGACACAAAGCTGGTGGCTTCTATAACAGGAAGTCCTGCTTCGGAAAGCATGTCTATCAGTTTGATTTTCATTGGAGTAGGTATAATATTCTGTAATGCAGAGAAAAACCAGAAGAGACAGGTTGGCAAAGTCAGTAATAAAATGGTCTCAGAATGCAGCCTGTTAGTTCAAAGCTTTTACTACAGCAAGCACTTCACTATCTCAACTTTCAAACACTAACATGAATTCACATGTAATCCTGGCCAACAGGTGCAGAACAAGGCTTGTCTTCGAATTCTACAGATAGCATTTTGCAGTGGAAGCAGTTTCTCACTTGAAAATGAGTTAATACTGACATGGAGACAATATTTTCCTGTCATATAGGCTTTTAAACTAAATTTTTGTTGCTTTATGACCCCATCATAAACAAAGTGCCATGGCCTGAAAGGGCAGAGATGACTAACCTTCTGGGTCCTATGAGATGTGGCCTCCAAAGGGTCACACCCTCCCCCTTCTGTCTCTCAGCTGGCACAGGATCTCATCCTCACATGATCAGCCTACTGCTTCTCTGTCCCTCACCATGTCTAGCTGCTCACCAGACTCTGTGGACTCCTATATCCAAATCTACCATCATTATCCCATGTATGTTACGGCATGGTCACAGTCACTCTACCAATTCCTCCCACACAGGAATCCTTCTAAAACACAGTCTCCATTATCTCACTCTCCTGCTCAAAAGCCTTCCATGGCTCCCTAGTACTTACAGGATTTAGGTCAAAAATCCTAAAAACTCCAAGTCCTTCTCGCCAGGCCCTTCCACCCCCAATTTCTCTCCCACTGCTTTAATTTAATCTATTCCACAAGTAATTTTTGAGAGCCTTCTATGTTCCAAGGATTGTGCTAGGAGCTACAGATACAGCGGTGAGCAGAACAGACATGATCCTGTCCTCAGAGAGCTTACAGCTTATTGTTTCCAACCAACACTCACTATTAAAGGTAGGCTGATCATGCTTTAAAAAAAATTTTTTTAAAGAGGTTTTCTTATTGAAAAAATAATACATGATTATTTCAGAAAAACATGCCAAAAACAAAAGAAAACCACCCTTAAAACCTCCCAGAGATAACACTCTTAATACCCTGACAGGTAACTTTCTAGATCTGTGCAGTCCAGTACATTAGACATGAGCCATACGTGGTTATTTAAATTTTAATTAATTAAAATTACATTAAAAAATTCAATTCCCAGCCACACTAGTCACATTTCAAGTGCCCAACAGCCACAAGTGTCTAGTGGCTACTGTACGGGACAGCTCAAGCCTAGGACACTTCTGTCTTCACAGAAGTTCTACTGGACAGCACTGCTCTATGATCCTTTTCTAGGCAGATGCTCCCACACATATATAAACTTTTTTGTTTCTTACACACGAAGTATAAGATTAAATATATATATATAGACACTATCTTATAATCTGATTACATCTTAATATACTCCTATATTATTAATGGCTTCACAATATTCCATTTTATGAAGTCATTAATGTATTTGAGTTATCTTTCCTCCTACTGAACATTTAGGTTGTTTCCAGCTGTTCTGCTGTTACAACAGGGTTTTAAGGAACATCTGCAAGGCTAAATCTTTGCATGTGACTTTCATGACTTCCTTTGGACAAATCCCCTTATGTGCAATTGCTGGATCAAAGGCACGCCCTCACCTTCCCTCTGCACTCCTGCAGCACTCACCGTCCACCCCCCCCCCGCCACACCCACAGGGCCTTAAGGTGGACCCAGGGTCACAACACTTGTGGCTGAACTGTCACAGGTGCCTGCCTGGCCTCCCCGACCCAGCTCTAAGTTGGGTATAGTTCTGTACCCAACACATGGAACTCTCGAAGCCTGCAAAAACTTTTTTGGTTGATTTCCATCCTTACCTTTTCATTTTGTAGTCCGTCTCTGGGACCAACTTCCACAATTTTCACTTGCTTTGGGAAAGTACCCACAGATGAGGTGCTAACCTTGGGTTTAAAAGAGGAAACAAAAAGTAACAGGAGGAAATTGTCACAATTCTCCAGGGGGGCAAATCTGAAAGAATGTATCCATCTTCACTGATACTGAGACAAGAAGCAATATTTCTCACCCCTTAATTCACATTTGCTCTGTTTTAGAATCAAGAACAACAAAAAAAATTCACTTAGAAACAGGAATAGAATAAGACAGCAGTCCCCAACCTTGTTGGCACCAGGGACTGGTTTCGTGGAAGACAATTTTTCCACGGACTGTGTGTGTGGGGGAGGGGATGGTTTCGGGACGATTCAAGCACATTACATTTATTGTGCGCTTTATTTCTATTATTACATTGTAATATATACTGAAATAATTATGCAACTCATCATAATGCAGAATCAGTGGGATCCCTGAGCTTGTTATCCTGCAACTAGATGGTCCCATCTGGGGGCGATGGGAGACAATGACACTTGAAGTGTGTGGCTTATGTCCAGTCTACTCCATAAGATGCAGTTTGTCACTTGCCACTCACTGATAGGGTTTTGATATGAGTCTGCAAGCAACTGATTTATTATGGTCTCTGCGCAGTCAAACCTCTCTGCTAATGATAATCTGTATTTGCAGCTGCTCCCCAGCGCTAGCATCACCGCCTCAGCTCCACATCAGATCATCAGGCATTAGATTCTCACAAGGAGCGAGCAACCTAGATCCCTCGCATGTGCAGTTCACAGTAGAGCTCGCGCTCCTGTAAGAATCTAATGCTGCCACTGATCTGACAGGAGGCAGAGCTCAGGCAGTAATGGGAGTGATTCGGAGCGGCAGATGAAGCTTCGCTCACTTGCCCACCGCTCACCTCCTGCTGTGCGGCCTGGTTCCTAACAGGCCACAGACCGATGCTGGTCCATGGCCCGAGGGTTGGGGACCTCTGGAGTAAGTGATTCATGCTCCCAGTACAGGGCCATTTCCAACTCTCCTTTAGTCCAGACCCATTTCCAACCACCTGACAGTTGAGCATTTAGGTTTTTACTTTTTTAAATTATTTTTTTTAAATATTTATTTAGTTGGTTGCACTGGGTCTTAGTTGTGGCTCACCAGCTCCTTAGTTACGGCATATGGGCTCCTTAGTTGCGGCATGCATGTGGGATCTAGTTCCCTGACCAAGGATCGAACCCGGGCCACCTTGCATTGGGAGCGTGGCGTCTTAACCACTGCACCACCAGGGAAGTCCCTAGGTTTTTTTCAAACAAACCCATTTGCACTCTCAAACACAGATGTCCCTAAACAGAACTTTAATTACTCCTAAAGCCCAGTCCGACTTGAGTCTTCCTATCTCAGTAAGAAGCATCACATACACCCTGTTGCCTAAGCCAGAAACCTGACTCATTCCTTCCCCACTCACCATAGCCTATAAGATTCTTATCATCTGACTCCTGCCAATCTCCGAGAACTCATTACTGGTTCCTACTGTTCTGCACTCACCCCTCAGATGGGTCACTATACTCCAGACCCACCAGCCTTTCTCCCATAGCAGGGCCTCAGGGCTTACAGTTCCTCTGCCCAGGATGCTCCTCACCTGGCCCTTCCTACATCTGGCTCCCTCTCATCTTTCAGTCATAGATAGGCCCCTCTGACTACCCTTTGTAAAGCTGCCAATCCCCTCACCCTCATTATTTTCTATTTCAGGACTATAATTACTTCCTTGAGAGCACTGCAAATAATGCCTGCTCAATGATTCCTCCAGTAGAATGTATGCTCTATGAGCGACTTTGTCGTAACCTCCACTTCCTCTCACGTTTGACACTGTGCTTGGCACAAAGGAGGCACTCATTAAATAGTTATTAAAACAACAAATAAATGCATGAAGGGCATACCTGCCCCAGAGGAGGGCAATTACTGAGTGTGGTGAGAAGCAGTCTTGGACTTTGTGGGGTTGTGGGGATGGACGGGGCTCTGTTCTCTTATAATCATAGGCTGGGTGATGACAAGGAGAGTGAGTCTGAGAGGAGATAAAACCTTCAGCAGTTGAAGACATTAAAAAAAGGCCCCGAGTCTCCTCTGTGTAAAGTCTGTCCTATATAAAGTCCTCTATAGGAAATCTCCCCCTCCCCACCACCACCAAGTAATACAAGGCTTTTTTCCCCTCTTTCCTCTATTCTTCTTAGTACTACTCAATACTGTTTAAATTAATTACATTTTACCAGATTCGCTCTGGATAAACATATTGCAATGGGGCAAGGGGAGAGGGGTACTGGGAATCTGACAAGGATCCCAAATTCCTGAAACCCTTAAGGAAGGAAATATTCCCAGCTATGAATCAGCTGGAACTTAAACAACTCACCTGAATTGGCTTTGGTTTTAGCCAGTAAAGCTTCCTAGAGACTAAGGTGATGAGCCACTGAATTTCAGGGTGTCAATAGGCTAGGTTGGAAGGTCCCTGCAAGTTGAATATCCCTCCAAAAGGTATGTTCAGCCTCTGCTGGTACATTACCCTAAAAGGATCGCACTGGAATGTAAGCTCCATGAGGCAGGGACTTTGTTTTATTCATTGTTATGTTTCCAAGGCCTTGCTACCTAATATGGGCTCAATAAATAACCAGTGAATGTTGTTGAAAGAATGTAAAACCTGTTTCCAAGTTCCTTTTGTGAGAACAGAATAAACTCAATTCTACTTCCTTCCCCATAACAACTCTTCATGCTAACAACAAAACAAGCATTTACTATTATTGAAGCATTTACTATTTGCCAGGCACTTAAAAGAGCCTTTTACATATTAACCCATACTATCCTCTCAACAACCTTATTAGGTAGGAACTATTATAATCCCCATTTTACTGTGAGAAATCTGAAGTCCAAGGAGATTAAGTAATTTTCCCAAGGTCACATGGTTAGCTAGTCACTGAGCTCATATCTGAACCAAGCAGTGTGGATCTAGAGCCTATGCTCTTAACCCCTAGGCCATGTTGCCTCTGCCACCCTTCGGTCCCCCCCGTCTTCTCTCGCCTTGGTTAAACACCCAATTCATTCCCTCTGTAAAGTTCTGCATAGAAATAATCCCCTCTAACCACACAAATCCTGGGCCACAGCCTCCTGAGCTATGGTACCTTTATCAACAGCTAAAACTGACTAAAGCCCAGTGCTAACTTCCAGACATCAGCACCTCATTTAGTCCCTACATGACAGGAACTATCACTATTCCAATTCCATAGAGGAGGAAACAGCCTCAGAAAACCCCAAATCACACAGGTAGGAAGTGAGGAAGTTTGGATTTAACCGTCTGGTTCTGACATCAAGTCCGTGCAAGTTACCCCATGGAGGGAGGGACTACTACCAGCATTTCATTACACCAGGAATTTTTTCAAATCACATTTGCATCCACCATCTCATTTAATTTTCTTAACTTTTCAAGCTGGACTTACTGGATTTATTTGCGATGAGCAATCGGTGGGGGAAGGTGGTCTAGTAGACACTGAAGTGGTTTTCTGAGAGGGGCCCCTACTGCCAAGGCAGTGTAATTTTTACCAGTTTAAACTCCTCCTAAACTCTAAGGCAACAACTGAGCAATCACTTACTAAGAGCTAGAACAATGTTAAATGCTTTACTTACGTTTTCCTTAATCTCCAAACCAACCCTGAGGTAATGTTTTCTCACGTCATAGATCAAGAAAACCAGGGTTTAGAGACCTGTCACTCAACCGCAAAAGTGGCTTCAGAACCACTGGGACATCTCAGCTCGAGCTTTACCCAACACAATGTATTCAACCCTTTATACAATTAGGTTCTCCTACACTTTCCTTCCACTCACTGAGCATGGGCGAGAGATGGAAACACCAGGATCAAACTGGCCCAAAGTACAATTCCAAGGGAATCACAACTGGCCACACGCGATCTAAGTCCTGCTCAGCACGCTGGGATAGCTCGCCAAGCGTCCCCAAATGCAACAAGAGCTGGAAATGGAGACGGACGGAGGGGGATGACCTGGGTTTCTCCACTCGAACTGGCAGGGTAATCATGATTTTTTTAATGAGGGACTTGGGGAAGTCTGAAGCTCAGTTACAGGGAGACACATGCCAGGGTCACCAGAAAGAGCCTTGGCCAGGGAATGAGGACGCCTGGGATGGCGACCCAGGTCTCCACAACCCGGGCGAGTCGCTCCCCATCTCTGGGCCTCAGTTTCCCCACGCCCCTCAAGGGATTTGGACGAGTCAGAGAGGGTCCAAGATTCCAAAGCCCTCCCAACCCTCCTGGCGTGATGAGCTGTCCGGCTTCTCCTCTCAGAGAGCAGCCGCTATGGGCCAAGCCCCCGACCTGACCATCACGGTGCCTTCAGGACCGCCCCTGGGCGGGCCGGGGCACTTACAGCCCGGAGGGACGCCGAGCCCACCAGTCTCCACAGGAGCGCCTTCTTCACTGTCGCCATCTTCACCCAGCTTCCCCGGCGGCAACCCAGCGGAGCCCCACGTGACCACGACAGCCAGGTGGGCGGGGCCCCGCCTGTGGGGCGGGGCCTCTGGAGCGCCGTGGTGACGCCCTACGCTGGCTCCGTGCCCTGTCTGTCTACGTTTTTATTTCTTCTGGTCAGTGCTTCCCTAGCCGTTGTTTATGCGCGCCCTTTGTGTGCCAGACGAAGTGAGGCGCTAGGACTATAAAGATGAACAAAAATTAACCAAAGTCTCTGACTTAATGGGTTTGTAGTCTGGGAGATGTGGGAAGACAGATATTAACAGTCACACGAATAGTTGTAGGATTACCTTCCGCATTAATAAGATGAAGCATTACTATTCGCCACGCACTGTTCTGAGTTATTTGCATGTATTAACTCATTCATCACGATCTTCAGGACTTAAATGCAGGCAGTCGACTCCAGAGAGAGAAGCATCCTTTGATTGAAGAATGAGTAAAATTTACCCAGGTAAAGAGGATACAAGAAAAACTTTCCCGACAGAGCATAGCATATGCAGAGGACCCGAGGCAAAGAAATTGAACGCCCAGAGCAGTGTTTTTCAAAATGTGTGTTGTACCTCATTGGTAATAATATCAATTTAGTGGGTACTTTTTCAAAGAAATAGAATAGAAAATATCAGAGTACATTGTAAGTAGTAAAGCTAAGTACTGTACTGCTTTACAAAACTTTTGTTTGTTAATGCATAACAAACTAGGTTGCACTATAAAATAAAATTCTTTCTGTAAGCTGCAATTAGAAATGTTTGAAAACATTGTTTTAGAGAGATGAAAAGAAGGCCACAATGACTGGAGAGCCGGCAGGGAGTTAGAAGGAGTCTTCTTACTAAGATGGGAGAGATTGACAGGGACTGTACCATAGGGCTTTGGAGAACACGTTAATAACAGCTATCCTAATAGCAATGCTTTTGAAGGATTTTAAGCAGGAAGATACGATCAAATTTGCATTTTGTAAGTAGTTACTGGGTGGGTGGATATCCAACTAGTAAGTGCACTGACTGGCATTCTCAGGAGAGGCAGAGAAGGCACTATCCCTGTTTTCAAGGGACTCAGATTTTAGCTAGGGAGAGAACAAGACATGATAAGTGTTTTGTTATGCTTCCACAGCACCAAAAATTTTCTCCATCATAACAGAGCACTACTGACAGAATCCTCAAGCCTGCAGCTAGAGGGCTGAACTTGACCCCGAAATACTAGCATGACATTTAAAAATAAATATGACATTTGAGACTTGTACACTGAAAAGTACAAACCATTGCTGAAATTAAAGAAGACATAAGTAAATGAAAAGATATCCATGTTCATGAATTGGAAGATTTAATGTTGTTAGGATGTTAATACTACCCAAAAGTGATCCACAGTTTCACTGCAATCCTTATTTAAATCCCAGTGATGGTTTTGGCAGAAGTAGAAAAAAAAAA